AATTGAACTGATTCACTTCTCTTTTAGTACAAACAGAAATGTTTTGGAGAAAAAGATGAACAAATCGTTTTCTTTTTGCTTTTGATTGTTTTGTTAGTGATAAATTTGATATATAAACCGTCTGCCAACAACTTTGAAATGACAAACAGATAAGAGTAAAAAGAGTTTACAATTGTAAATAACAAGTCTTTCGCTAAATATTTGTTGATTTCCTGTAGCATTTGAAACAAAAGTTGACTCAGTTACAGTTAGAATAAAACCATCAAGAAATAAAGCCAGAGCTTGACCAGAGTTTTCAAAAAACTCTAAAAACCCAAAAGTGACAAAGTTATTATTGAAGTTATTTTTGTGACATATTAACAAATTGTAAAAGCTGAAGAAAAAACTGAAGTAGTAAATTTTTTTGAAACTTTTCGCAACTTGGAAAAAGATAACAGAAGATTTACAACTTGAAAACGAAAGTTAATAAAAACGAGAAAAAAAAAACCTGTTGAAGATCAGCAGGAGTAAAGTGACAGACAGTTTGGCTTACAAGGCGAATTTAGTCATTGGTAATATTTTATTAAGCATTAATTTAAGTGCTATTTTAAATAGCAGAAATAAGCAAAACTTGTTTGTTGTATTCAATAGAAAAATCATAAAAAATCACTAAATGCACAATAATTTTTTTTTTCAAATTTTTTAAGGTACGGTTAGTGTGTAACTGTGATGCTTCTCCACCGCCAAAGTAGAATTTGCAAAAATTATTTTGGGGTTTTGATAATAAAAAAAAAACCTTCATCAGAAAAAAATAAAAATTTCTGATTACTGCATTAACCAAATAGCAAAAACTCGCTTTTTAATCTCATTACTAAACTGTCTTTTTAAGAAGTTAATCAGTTCTAAGTGAGATTTTTTGACTTTTGAAAGTTTGGTAACCAGAATACCCCAAACTTATTAAGGCACTGTCAACAGTGGCCTACGGAGAAGTGACTGTCTCACTGCGGAAATTCACGAAGTGGCTTTAACGAGACCTGAACGAGAATGCACTAATGTGTCCCATCACTTCCCAAGCGCACTGATGGTTACGAGACCAACACATGAACGGTATCAGAGAAAACTCCACCAGCAACCAAGGGTTTAGTCAAAGCAAAATTCAAAGAGGCTGTGGTAAAGACGTTGCAAGTAGTTAATCGAAAGAAAAATTTATGGTTCCAAGAATGAAAAACCCCGATAATTGTTCCCCTTCTATTTAAATTTTAGTTTTAGGTAATGATTCAACTGTTAAAAATAACAAAGTTGAACGCATTTCATGGTCATTTTTCAAGTTTAAATTGTCATCTTGGTTTTACTGTTGTCTTTTTGTTGTTTTTTACCATCTTTTATCCGTTTTCTTTTACTCTCTGCATCCGTTTTTGCTTTATTCCCCTATGTCACAATCTTTATCCTGTGTTGAATGCCAGCTTTTAACTTGATCCGTGTATTTCATTTTACCTTCTCCTAATCAGATTAGAACAATACATCGCGGCCTTATATGGCTCATGCCGGCGTGTTCGACAAGTTGCAGATTCTTGACGAGTAAGTTATTGTACAAAGGCAAGACATCTTCGCATGTAAGCTAAACTCAGCTTCTGAACGCTGCAATTAATGGAAAAAGAAAGAGAAGTGAGAAAAACTGTTACAGCGAAAATAATTTTTTGACAAATTTGTTGACAAAAAATCTTTTAGATAATTAACATACATAAAAGTTTTGGCGACAATTTTTGCCGAATATTCAAAACTGTGAAAATGATTGCAAAGCGGCAACATACGAAAGATGGTCAGTCAGGGTGGTTATCACCTAAATTAGAAACAAGTTATCTTGCTTCAATCTAACGAGAAATTTACTGTGGTACTTTCTGACACTTCATTTCCATACACGACAGCTCGTTATCCTGAAATTTATGCAAAGTTGGAATTTATCTATTGAATGGCCATCTTTTGATAGTTTTTGGTGTCCGCCATATTTGCTCAAAACATCTGTTGCGATAGAGGTATGACACCTTAACACTACACTGTTAGTGGTAGTATATCTCAAAAAAAAAACTTTTTAAACTGTTTAGCAGTATAGTAGATATCAGAAAATTTTACTTGTAAATATAACTGTTAAAAGCAGATACAAAACAATCCTTCTTTGTAAGTACAGCAGTTTTATTGACGATTCTGTAAACGAGTAGAAATTATTGTTTGCTTTTGTATCAGTATGGTTAAAATTGTAATAAACACAACTGTCTTATATGACTATCAATACTTTTATAGATTGGGAAATTATACCATTTACAGTAAGCAAAAATTTTTTACTTTCATCCGTTTTAAAAAGCTCAAAATTTTCCTCTATTATTGATAAGAGTTATCATTGGTACTGCTGGTGGCCTAGGGCTCTCAACAGTTATACTTTTGAAAGATGATAAACGTAGTCAACCTCATAACTATTGGAATTTCCCGCCTACAGAAAAAAAACATGTTGGAAGAAGTGAAAAATAAAAAAAAGAATTTAACACTTTCATTCTTTACTATGATACCATGTTAAGACGAGTGCAAAATCTCACCACAGAGATACCTCCTTAGGTGTAATCATACTGGTCACCGGCAATAGTTGATTGTTGGCTTTTTTTAAGACCTGCCGCTCTATACAGCCATTTGTTGATCTTATATCTTGCCTCGATTGAAAAATAACTTAATTTCTCTTTATATTCTAATGTAAGCTATCGATTCATTATTTGCTGAAGAAGTTTAAGGGTAGTTTGAAACTTTTACTCTTTGTATTAAATTGTATTATCAAGCAGCATTTTTTCCTGTACTCTTCTTTAACAAGTGGACGTAATTTATGATACAAAAATAAGTGCTTTTTTTTTTTCTCAAATTTATAATTTTCTATCTTAAATAATTTTCTTAATTATTTGTGTTTTTTTTTTAGATGCTATAGCATTGTGTTGTTTTGTAACTGTAACTGTGAATACTTCACATTGTTTGTGAAGTATTCACAGTTACAGTTACAAAATAACACAATGCTATAGCACAGTGTTATTTTTCTGCTATATTGTTATTCATCATTGACTGTATTGTTTTATTAATCACTTTTAAATTTTTTAATATTTTTTTCTTATTACTTACTATTGTTGGAATAGTACTAGGATACCTAGCAAACGCTATTTCAACTATCAATGGACCGTGAATTAATCAGAAAAAATTGTCGATGTGCAAGAAACATTTTTGAACTTTTCAAACCAATTGGTATGGAAGATGTATGCAAATATTTTATTGCTGTCAAAATTACACAACTGAACGCATTATCGCAGATGAATGAGAGAGATCTTCGGGTATTTTTTATTCAATCTCATAGCTTTAGTTACTTAATGTGTTACACTGAAAAAAAAAATAGTAATTTAAAGTAAGCTTTCAGTCTTTGGGATTAAAGACTGGCCCACGAAAAAAGATTATTGAAGTAATTAGGATATTAAAGGACGAGTTACCAAACATTAAGGTAAGGAAAAAATAACCAAATTTTTTTTTTCATAAAGCATTTTTGAAAAATGCATACTTAAACTACAGTGGACATCTTTACTCCAGCTTCTTTCAACCTATCAATTTCTTCTATTTAGTTTCTTTAGCTGAATCGTAAAGATTCTGGGATTGGAAGCAGTTATGGAAAAGAAGAAAACATACAGCGGCCTTGTAATGCGGCTTCAGAGCAAGATCTTTTCTACAAAAAGGTTGAACATTTTATTTCTTTGACAGAAATTGAAAGTATGAGACATTTAAGCTGATACAGCTTTTCATTATTATGGATCACTTTGTGTCTAAGACTTTAGGCACAACGCGAGTTGGAGCACTGTCAGAAGGAATTGGCTGAATTAAGGCTTCAAGTAGCCCGCGCTCAAAGGGAAGTAAAGCGCAAGAAAGAAATATTTGATACTATTGGAGAAACTGCTGAATTAGTTGCCGGTCTACAGGTTCGATGTCGGCAGAAGCGTGTCAGCATGGAGGTGCAATATCATGTTAATGAACTGTTTGGTCTCTTCAGTCTGATTCATGACTCCCTAGCGCCCGGAACAGTAAGCAGTTTTATTTTTGTAATTCCCAATTTACTGGATGAAAGGCAGTTGAAATGATTTAGGAGGAAACAACTAATAGTGAAACGGAATCAAAAGAAACCTATGCTAAGAAGGATGTTCGCCAAGAACCTTTGCCGTTGGTTAGTGAGTTCAAACTGCCCCTCATTCTACATTTTTGAAACTGCATAAGCGATCTTCGTTTGATTCAGAAAACACAGGAGGAGTTACGAAATCGAGAATGCTCACGACAAGACGAAGACAGTAACAAGGAAAGAGTGTTTTATTCTAACTATTACACTCCCAGTCCCAATGCTAGAGGCGAGTTTATTTTTGATTTTGGGTAAATGGATGTTTAGATATCTTTTGACTGCAGGTAGTTCGCTTATTTTCTGACAGTTCTAAAGTCCTTTCATTTGCTTAAATATCACAGGCTGCGTTAGAAAGCAACAGTGTTTCATTCAGGGGTCGTAATGCCAGGATGCTATCTTCGCTAATGCTTTTCGAAAAAAAAGTATATTTAAATTTTTTAGTTACCCCTACACGTAGTCGCTGGAAGAATGAAAGTCAACTCGCATGTTCTCCGTCACAGGTTTGATGAGCAATTATTTGGATAATAAATGGATTTGTGGGCAGTTTCGGTTAGAAAAATTTTCTGCTGATTTTGTATAATTAAATACGATTAAATTTCAGAAATACTCTCATGTTCGCCAACTGGATCCCCCGTATCATTATCATGGTGGAGGTTTCAGAGCAGGAGGAGAAAACTGCAATGTCGCTGGTCCGTCCCACTTGGTTAGTGATCTCAAATATTTGGATCAATTCCGTATGCTGTTCTTTTTCGACTTCTTTTGTCCTCATTACTCAGAGTTCTTTAAATGGCAATGGCAGTACTTCAAAATTTCCTTTTTTGCAGGCACAAGTAGTCCCCATGGTATGTCAAGCAAGACAAATAAATGCCTCTCCAGTCCATGATACAAGAGCTCGGTTTCCTCACTGCACTGTGTATTCTCCAACTGGGACCTCATCGCCAGTGAAAGGAATTGGTATGAGATTTAGGACTCCAAACATGGTATATCCCAGTCACCCTTGTTCGCCAGTTAATGGCCAGTAAGTCACGGTTTCTCCCCTTTTTGATTTTAACAGCATTTTTTACAGCTGCTCTTTCTTCAAATAATTTTCTGGTTATTATTGCGTACATAAACAAAATTTCAGTCATATCACCATTTCAGTTTTGCCACTGATGAAGTAAACAGGACATTTGCTGGTTTTAGCCCCTACCATTGTGCCCAACAAACAGAGTTTTGCTATTACACACCGATGGGCCCTTGTGGTCAATTTACCAACAATAGTGGAATACCCTTTCCTAGACTGCCTTATCCCGATCGTATTGCATGTAGACCGTATCAGCACTAACTTGTTGTACATTGGTTTCGTATAACTTACTAAAACCACTTGAAAGTTCAACAACAAATAAAGTACATCGGAACTAGAGTAGGAAAAAATGTTATGATTAGATTGACTCATGGATACTTTTTAATTTCATTTACAGGTAAGTAAACTTCTCTTTCTCTTTGATATTTATGATACCGTCTCTTTTTTTTTATATTTTGTTCTCGGTGGAGAAGTTTATGCTGTTTTTTTTTTTTGGTTATTGAATATTTTCTTTGATTCGTTGAGATTTTAATATAAATTTTATAAAAAAACAGCATAAGCAGCATCCACCGGAAACAAAACATAAAAAGAAAAAAATTGATAACGATTTTTGTGTTTTTTTTTTTTTTTTTGAAAGGTATACGGAACTTCGTAATCCGATATATTTTTGCACTTTGTCATTGTTACTTTTTTTTGCGTTTATTGTTTTACACTGTGTACACAATCATTTTCTTCCATTGTTGAATATACATATTCTTAGCGATTTAGTCATCTTATTTTATCCGTCTGTTCCCAGTATAGTTTTTAATATTGCCCTTGATCTGTTGAGATGCGTATGATTTTATTCGACTTAGATGCCAATCACATTTCGTTAGATGAACAATTTGGTGTTACTCAATAAAGAAACAGTGCTAAGCAGTCAGTTTCCTTCACCAGCTTAAATTTTCTTCTTCAGTTCTACATTATTCGAGAGATTTGAGAGACTGATGAAAAAAAAGCAGGTACACCATCTTTTAGTGAATTAAAATTTTGTAATAACTCCTCGTTAATCTGGAAATTCACTGATACAATTCACTTTAAAAAGTTAAAACCATTTCTTCAATCTTTGGAGCTGTTGGCGACCGCGAAACAGAGGTGGGTTTTGTTGCGGGTGTGTGGTCTTGAAGGAGTTCCAACGTGAATCATTAGTTTTTTTTTGGTTGGAAATGAGTCTCGCTAGACAAAACTGTAACTGGTTTTGCTCATTGTGAAAGGGAAAATCCTGCGACTGGCTTTAATATTTGAACATTCAATTAATTATTTTTGCTTGCAGAATCAGCTGTGACTTCTTTGGATAGTAATAAAACAGTAAGAATGCTACACTGTCGTGGAAAACCTAATATAGTGCGGGTAAATTGACAGAGGAAACTATGGGAGCAGTTATGTTTGTATAGTGTATTTTGGCGGGGCTGGTTGCTGATTTCCAATATGGCCTAAAATTTACTGTTTAGGGAATTAAAAAAGGCAAAAAAAAAACCTTCTATTATGACTGACTTTAGTTTAGTATGTGTTTCTGATACAGGTATAAGAGCAAAGTTCCACAACCCTACAAATAACAAAAATAGGTAAGGTTTAATTCTTCAAGTAGGGTCATCCCGTGCATAATTCTGATGCTATAATTCAGTGAGATTACCTTATTGCAAAAAGCTTTTTTCTCCTAGTCTGAAAAAATTTTTTTTGCTAAAAAATGCTTAAAGGTGGAGAAATAGCTGATCTCAGCATAACAAAACATCGTAATTTCAAACTTTTATTTTCAAGGTGCATAATAATAACAACAATCTATACAAAACAGAGAGGTTTTTAAATACAACAGAAGAAAAAAAGTAGATTTTGAAAAAAAAGGCAATGAACTTGTTTGTTACACTTTCGTCCCTACCTAACTCGTCCTACACCTGAGAAGATGACAAAAATGAAGAAAAAAAAAAAAGACAGAGCATATGATCAAGGTACTTTGTATTGAAATGATTAAAAGGTCATCTGGAAGATCAAAGTGTTGCTGAAACTCGGTGTCAGGGCAGAATAGCTACTGTTACTTGTGCTTTTATGATGAGGAAAGCAGAAAGCAGCAAACATTAATCGGTGGACAGCTAGCTACCAGAAGTACCAGGATCCTAAACCGAATTCATAGCAGTTGTCAGTTTTGACCAACAGAAAAAAAAAAATATTGCAGATATTTTAGGCATTTGAAGAAGGGTCAGTGAACTGTTAGCGAAAATAGAGGTCAAAAAAAAAGATGCGTATAGGAAACAATTAAAATCTTTGGCATCCAAAATGGTTGACGTTACAGAAAACAGCAAACTGTTGCATTTAACGTCATCGTCAAGTTCGTTCGTGTATGTACGCGATTTATCAGTAGTGTAAATTTCCAATTACTCAAAAAATCTTTTAGACGGTAGATAGGTTTAGCATTTATAAGCCAAATTGACAGCTATAGGGACAAAAAATTTTGTTGTTCTATGATCAACTGTCATCAGCTAAGATATGCACTTCTTAGTCTTTCTTTTTTTGCTCTCAATCAGTCTAATCACCAATGTGTATGCTTTTTATCAAACCACATCAGAAATTGACCAATATTTTTTGGCATTAATTAGTAGGAAAGAAAGTACTTTTCTTTGTCATTTTAAGTTACACCAGTTGTTAATTTTTGTTGAAGAAAGAAGATAAAAATGAAATCAAAAAAAAAAAAAAAAAAAAAA